CGATTGATTTTTCTTTTTTGTGAAGCACATTTCTAAGCCTATAACATTCTTACTAGATGAGCTAGCAGGGTCAATCGATAGTCATCTTGTAGAGCGTTTTTTACTGCATCTTTTCTTCATAGAGACAAATTTACTATCACTTGTTTCACTATAGAAAAATTTATTACTCAAATCGGGTCAGGACTTCTGGGCCACCCTTTAATGAGAATTTGAACGTTTTCTTAACTTTTATTTTCAATCATCTGCGGAAGCGCCGGTGTATCGTAATTTTTCAACGAATGATATTTAATTTGGATAATGAACAATGAATAAAAAGAAACCTGCAGTGCAGAAATATCTCTGTATGCGTTTCAATCATCAGTTTTAATTTGCTTGTCCGTGTATCACAAAAACACCATTGATCTGATTAGTTTTTTTTCTAATATGCAGACTACTTTGTTAACGTTTCACGAGAGCGAGTTGTTGGCTACATAACAGTATTACTGTGATTACCAGAGTGACATCAATCACTATCGGTAGCAGAAATCCCTACTAGGATACATTATAAGAAAATATATAAGGAGATCTATCGTATCGATTAAAACATCAAACGCAGGGAACCGCAGAGAAGAAAAGCTTAAAGGAAGTTCTTTAAAAAAAAACTGAAGAGCGCAACGGAGTTTTTTAGTGTGTTCCGACAGATCGCTTGTCAAGAATCTGTTAGAACTGAAAAACTGAATTAGCTATGCAGTTTTATCAGATCTGGGTCAGAATCTTAACGAACTTGAAAGAAATTCACAAGTTCAGTTCTGTTCTTTTTCTTTTAATGATTCAATATTGAATATTCTTATCAGTGTGCTTTTAGGGCTGAGCTCACTATAAAAAAATGCATTTTTATGTATTTTTACGTATTAAAATGCATTCATTAACCGAACCTTTTACCCTTTTTTTCATTTGTTGTCTAGAATATGTGATAAAAACGGCAACTCTCTAGCTTGCCTTGTTATAGAGAAAATCTCATTTTACATCGAAAATGTCCACCGAGATTGTCTTATCTATATTTTGATCAAAATAACTTAAAATTCCAACTCATCGTACATCATACGATTCGTTGACATCCGAGCTATTCGCCTGACATCACAAAAAGCTTATTAAGTCTATACGTTGTCTTTTATTTTAAGAAAACGATAAGCGTTTTTCCTCTCGAAAATATCGTTTTCTAAAGACCATAGTGCTATCGTTTGGTACTTTTGAAAGCACTGTTTCACCACCAAAGGGTTAATCTTTTTCAATAAAAAAAATTTCGATGTAAATGTAACTTGACATGCTCTATTTGATGAGCATAGTAAGATTCGACCCGCTGACACTTTTGTATAAAGTGGGCGAACCTGTGTGGAAATGCCTCAGAGTTGGAACTGGGCCGGCAGACCGGCCGGTACCGGTCCGGTCCAGTGTAAAAGTTTAAATCGGCTGGATCTCCACTGGTCATTTTTCAACAAGTAGACAAATTGTCACTGAATAACGATCACAATTAGATCCTGAATGTGTTGAATCGTTAGTAGTTCTGAAAGAAGCATATTTAAATAATAATTGGTCAAAAAAATAAGAAGTTTTCATTTCTTTTGTTTGGTACTATTTAATCTGTTGCAGATATTGTAGTAAACTGGAATTAGGACAGTGCAGACAAGGGATAACCTCAAATAAACAAGTAACAGAAATATGAAAAAGCTAGTGAAAATGACTTTTTCATTAAAATTATTTTGATTTACTGATAAAAGCGTCTAAACTGCCCAGTTTTTTGCCGGTTTTTCACCTGTCTAAGAAAATTGTATCGGGGTCTTCTCAAACTCTAAAGTACTGGGAAAATATTATGTTTATACACAATCGATATAGCTTTATCAAACGTACGACTCCGATTTTGTTTATTTAAAACTTTTTATTATCGTGTTTTTTTTCTCAAACGGTACAATGGTTATGCAATTCACTCATATATATATATATATTTTTTTTTTTTTATTATTCTATAGCTGAATTACCAATATCCATAAATGATTTTAAATCTCAACAATATCGATGGTCAAAAGGTGCCGCTCAAACAGCTCGTAAATTAATTGGTGAAGTATTACGTGCAAAACAATTATCATTATTTATTCGTTATCATGCTATATTTCATTTATTTTCCAGTTTATTATTTTTAACATGTTTATGTCAAACACTTTTATTAGTTGCAATTGAAACATTATGTATTGAACCAACAATATTAATTTTAACAAATATTATTAACGCTATTTTAATGTTTATAACATCATATATTGGTAATAATGAAGCTAAACGTTTAACATTAATTAATAATAATAAAAAATTATTAAATAATGAAAAATTTATAATTAAATTAATTAAATTTTTATATCATTTTTTACTTTTTATATCATTATTACAAGCTATTTGTTTTCATAATTCAATTGCTGTTATTGATGGTTTAATACGAAAAAAAGGTGAATTTAAACGTACACCAAAATATTATGTTCAAACATCTAAAATTGAATCAAAACAATTAATTAATAATAAAAAACAATATTATCAACGAAAATCAATTGATTGGTTAGCATTAGCTGATATAATATTAGCAATTGTATTTATTTTAAAATCTATACATTGTATATTTTTTATTGGTATATATTTAAAATTTGGTACAATAATATTTACTACATTTATGCCGTAGTGTTATAATTGTTTTTTTGTTATACTTTAACGTAAAAATATTGTAGTTACTTTTGATCTTAATTTTGATATATTAAAATAATTTCTTTACTTTGTCATCTAATCTGTCGAAAGAAGAAGAAGAAAGAAAAATGAAGACAAAAGATTTCTAACGGTGTATGATGAATGAGTAGACACTTTGAGATGACATATTCACATATAAATTTATATTGTACAAATGTTATTGGTTTTTTTTCCTCATGAAAAAGTCTTCATCTAATGATGAATTGCGTTGTATATGCTTGTTTTCTCGGAAAATAGACAAAGTAATAAAATCCTTATTCAATATTTTTCACTATTACAATTAACTCTCGATTTCATACAGTCAATATACATAAGAATGACTTTTAAAATATTCAATAGTCAAATAAAATTCTTCTTTCTGGTCTTTGAATATAATTTGAATTGAAAAAAAGAGAAA